TTCGTTTTCCGAGTACTTCAAGTCTGCTCCTCCAAATCGGCTCTTCACCAAATAACCAAAGAACAAAATTACTTAAACTCAGTAGCTACTGTCACAGACTTTTCGCCCAACATTATTCGCTAAGCGTTTAAAAAATTATCATCATAGTTAGAACTCTCTCATTTTAGGGGATAATAAGAGTTCGGTTGTCATTCTTTTCTTTTCATTGATTAGCTATGAAATTGCACATATTTAACAAAAATTCAACTTTCGTGTCGTTTTCTATTCTACCAATAAAATTCGTAGTTGCATACTTAAAGACCTCATTTCGGATATGACCTCTTGGAGTACATATAAGATTCCTTCCCAATGTGTTTTAATATAAATTGATCAAGCTATGAGAGCCCTAAAATTTTGCTCTAAGAAAGATGAGGTATATGTTAGGAGAAAACAAGCTTATAAATCCTCTGTTGCCCAAAACTTTGTTGGTCAGGAAATCACACTTTTCATTTTTGAGTAGCTAAAATTATTCAAAAAAACGTCTTCTATTGGCGAATTAGATTTTATAGAAGCGTTTCACAGTCACAAAAATACTTCAGCTCTAGTTAACGATCCCAAATCCAATCCGTCTTTACCCACAGCTTTTAAGGAAATTATTTCAGAGCTGTTTTCTTTTTTCATCAATAGATGTGTCAATAGCTTGACTTCTTTCCTTTCGGTGTTATCTCCTGAGCACCTTCTCTTTCATCATTTGCACTTTTGCAGCTGCAGAAGTTTCTATGTTTAAACCTTTGAAACTAGTTCGGAAAATTTACGAATATTAAGCTGGTTCTTGTTGCCTTAACATCTCCATTAATCGTTAACTTGAGTGTTATTTTTACACAGATTATTTATTTGAGCTTTTTGTCCATGTGTTATTTGATACTGAGTCAAATAATCATACAATATTTTTCTACAGGGGTTCTGCTACTGCTATGGAAAACATCATATAACAGAAAACAGTTGAAAAGCTTGAAAATATTATAATTTGGCTCAAACCCATTAATTTCCTTCAAACGTCATTGTGCGCAATGAGGTTAGAGACATTTTCTGTTTGGTTTCAGGTTCAAAAACTAGTTGGAGGTATGTTACCAAATGGTGCTGTTCTTGCTAAGTTTCCAACTAAGTCGTGGTATTTCTATTTAACACCCTTAGGTAATGCTGAGCAACTTTTTTTACAGAGAATGTATCATGAAACGTTTCCCGAATGGCGCTATGGAACATGTTAAAGCTACTTTTGCCAATAACTGTTTTTGGCTTACTATTTCAAAAGAATGCGATAAATTATTACTTCCGATTTAAGTGCTAAAAACTAAACTAAATTATTGGCATAATACAAATGCCAAAGAAAAACTTTTATTTCAAGAAATATTTCTCTGGTCTTGAATAACTTGCATACTGCGTGGTTTGCTATTTTGTAATTCAATTTATATTCAGTATTCAAATTTTTAAATACGACATTACCTGTTATATTAACTATTTCCCTTTGCTAATTTGTATAGTCATACTAGAACTTGCCTGTTTATAACAGCTGATAGTAATTTCTTTATCCACATTTTTATTTCCAATTCAGTTACTAATATTATCAAAAGGAACACAATTTTAATTCACTTTCAAGGAATCTAATTTGAAAAATTTTATAACAATTTAAATAAAATGAACCATGCTAGGAAAATTTGTAAACACACATGCAAACATATAACAGGAAAAGAAATCAAAATAGCTAAAGCTGTGCAAAGAGATGCATATAGACATACTCGTATAGCAAGCGATAATTAAAATATTTGAAAAATATTAATACCGGTAGCATATATTATGCAAATTTAAATATTTAAACACTGGATTAAATATCACCCTCAGAGATATATTACAAAATATATATTGCAATTCACATTATTAAGTATTCATAATTACATGCATCATTAAGGAAAAATGCTAAAATTCTAATTATTTTAACTATAATTTTATAAGAACGGGGTGTAACGTAAGTATAAAATTTTACTTCTGAAGATCTAAAGTTTATGATGACATGGATACATCTTTTGAAATTTTATTTCTTTGATATTCAAATAGGATTTTGATGAGATGTATGAATATTTAAAAAATCTCACATTCTGTTCATATTCCTGCTCACTTAGTTTATAAAATACCGAAATCTGCACAATGGTTGTATCTACATGTTTAAGCTTATAAATTTCTTTTAATTCATCTTTTGATTTTAAGTTACTTCACTTTTAATTCATATTGAGATTTTAAGTTACTTGTGGTTACTTTCAGTTCATATTTATTGTCTGATTTATGCTTAGAGAAAGTAGATGAATTGAGGGAGAGTGAAAAAGCAGTCAGGTGATTAAATATTACAAACTTCAACTCAAAACGATTTAGTAGAGAAAATGTTCCCTTTTTTTCTACACAAACAACCTAGCTATAAGAACTTAATTAATTAAGACGTGGAAATGTATCTTGCCATCTATGCCTCAAATTACATATGAATGAATTTATATCAGTTACTTTTAATGCTTTTGTTAGTTCTTTCACGTTTCATCTATCCAAGGCTCCATACGAGATCATCGAGTATGATTATTTAAAATATTCGCAGGCTTTCAGTATTGAAAAGAGTATTATATATTTCCTAGAAATAACACGAATAATATCGTTTTGCTTATCCCAATTTTATAAAACACTACTTAAATTGTAATTATTTATTGCAAGATATAATGCCCACCAAAAATAACTTGCTTCGGTAATACAGTTTGTAATAAATAAAAATATCCTGTGAGCAAATTGCTCACCTTCTGTTGGTAAAAACCAAACTCATATCATGCTCACATTTTATTTCCACGCTCTTATGTGACGGTTATCAATGCTTATGTCAATTTATTTTAGGATGTTCCAGCAATAATTCTTCCTCCTACCTTTGTCTTTTTAAATTAAAAGAGTAAGAACTCTTCAGCATTGCAAAGGATGGCAGATAACGCAGGGAGCTAGCTTAAATTTAACATTGTTTTAAACTTCTTGCTGAAAATATAGCATCTCGTATCAACTACATTTCTTGAAATGGACATTATAAATGGTTATTAGGTTTGCGAAGGGCACAAACAGATGAAAACCATTCATATCCTTATGAAATTGTCTCTCCATATATAACAATTGTAAAATTTTCTTGAGACTATTGAACTAACATAATTTATTTTCTGTTTATAAATACCTGTACATATTGCAAAAGAACTAGTAGCTCAATCTCATTTTCTTATTATCATTTGAATTAAATTCAGAAGCATCCAGACACGGAAAATTGAAGGTACGCTCAGATACTTTCCATCTGCAGTTCGAAGAGCGGTAGTAGTACTTCGGAGAGACAGAAACTGAAGCCCTAGCCACTGATTTTTTTTTTAATCTTTAATAAATATCATGTGGTTGCTACCGGAACTTTGTATCGCTTCCTTCCTCTTCATGTTCATTTAGAATCTCCCATTTCTGGAAGCGGCAGTTTAATTTCGTCATTCATTCAAATATTTTTTACAATGCTTGATGCACTGGAAGGAAATGCCAAAATTTATTGAGTGCTTTAAATTATCTTCCATTAATTTTTGTCGTATTGTGAATTATCTCCAATATAATGCGAATGCAAGACTTATAAGGAAACATTTGAAAAAATGTTTTTCTCTGTAGAGGCTTTTTTGTGTCGCAAATGTTATCAATTTCGTACAGATTTTTTTAGAGGGCTTTAAAATGGCATGATACCAAAGCAGAGTTAATCGATGTAACGAGACTTTTAACTAATAATATAACAGCGAGTATTTTAAGAAGTAATTGGTGGCTTTCCCAATATATTTATGTATTAGAATCGATAAGTAAGCTGTAACAAAATGTGTGATGAAGAAAGCAGTTTTAAGGCAGTATTTAATGAGATTTAATAATTTCAAACAAATAGTAGTTAGAATTCTTTAATGTAGTTTACAAGGTAATTATAGTTTACCTTCACTATTACATATTATTTTTACAACAGCTATCTTGAAAATTAATTCACTTATAGAATTTTAAAAAGCACGTATACTAGTAATATATTTTTACTGATCTGATACGAAACCTAATTCCCTGTAATGCTCATAAATAGCATAAAATATTTAAGGATGTAAAATGTTCTGCAACATTTACTTATCACTCTTAAAACATTACGGTAATAATATGCTTCAAAGAATTTGATGAAGTAAAAACCAAAATCCATAAAATCAGTTGTAACATTTTAATTGAATTAAAACTGTTACGAAATCACTTAATTTTATTACATTTTTAATTATTTAAATTCAGTACAATTAGTAATTATTTTACACAGAGATACTTAAATTTAGTCGAAAGCTTTCATGCCACTCATTAAATCTCAAAGTTAGATTACTTTAAGTGCATATGCACACTCGCATTAATACGCTCGTATGAAGAATTAAAAATGTTTTATAGTGTGTAAGATTATGCATGATAATAACTCATGATATGATTATTTTTATTATACCTGCTACTGCAGTATATATAATCAAATTAAAATTATTACATTATATTTTTATGTATAACTTCATTAAAAGTTCTCGTTTAGTAGACGATAATAGTATGAATTAGGAACATACTTACTCTTAGAAAGCGACTTTAGGCAGAAACAGTTCTCATATTTTACATGCTTATTTATTTCATTAACATTTTGTATTCATGCACCGGTTAAAGGTAGTTTTTTTTTTTTTTTTTTTTTTTTTTTTTTTTTTTTTTTTTTTTTTTTTTTTTTTAAGGGGGGGGGTGTGATACGTAAAAAAAATCAATCATTAGAGCATTCTACAAATTTTACATGTAGTATACTTGAATTTCAAGCAATTTGAATAATAGTAAAATAATCTGCTCCATACCCTTATTTCAGAAACACTGAAAAACTAAAATAGCTAAACACATAAAATATCATTCCAGTACTATATAAACAATTTTTAAATACAACTTACAGTGGCCGTCATAATTAGTGCAACACTTTGGGGAAACGACGAATTTTGTGTATAAAGCTGTGAAGAGAGTGAATAATACATGGTATTATTATAAAATTGCATATTTCTGGCAAGGAAATTTTATAATCAATTTAAGAATGAAAACAGAATGCATACTGCATCATTGCTGCATAGCGCATGAGGCTGAGCTGTACTTAAAAAGCACTGTATCTACGCACTTTAAGCGAATTATATTTTCTAGCTTTGCGTTAAGCAGCGCCTGGTGAATATACTAAAATGCTTATGACTATTTAAAAGAAACCTAAAATATATTCGATAAGTTCACTGGGTAAATTTCACTTGTTTTGCATTCTGTCTTTATTTTTAAATCAATATTATAAAATTTCATTTCATGAAATATGCAACATAAATACTGAGTTTTTAAAAGGGGAATTTATATAATATTTTAATACTTTCCTCAAAAATATTAATTCTTGATTCTCTCAAAATCTGACATTTTTATCTTTAAATTGTAAACTAATATTTAAAATATTAAACTGAAATTGGAAGCATAAAGAGTTTATTGACCATCACAATCTCTGCTAAGTTCGTAGTTTTTGATAGTTTTGAGTCCATAGATTGCTTAATAAAGTTTCATATTGAAAATATACTTTTTATTTAATTGTTTATTAATTTTCTGCATTAAATCTTATATCATATTCAATTAAAATAATTTGCTTAATGAAATGTGCATCAAAGTTGTAAAAAATGTTTTAAACTATATTTATACTATGTATTTTTTACTTCAGCGATATAAAGATCATACCGTCATTTTACTTTATAGTTATTAGGGCTTTATAGTTATTTTAGGCATAAATAATTGATTTATTTTCTGAAATTCTCTTTTAGTGTCACTTTTAACTTGATGATTATAATCATCCCATTTCCAATTATGATTTTAGGCATTTCGGGTTCAAACTTAATCTATGTTAATGAGTGTTTTTTTCATCTAATGAAGCTATTAATTAAAGTATAATTCCTATTGCGTTGTTTTATTCTGAAATTTCAAAAACTTTGTTTTTCAAATGAAAATACTTCTTTTTCCAAACGTATTTCGAAATATCTACGAAAGCAGCAAAGTATGTATTTTTAGTTCACAGTTTCGTTTGAAACCAAAAAATTTTTTAATTTAAGCCGATTTATCTAAACATATACTTTCATTGCTGTTTGATATAAAGATGCAAGTTTCAATTTCTATTACAAGAAATAATTTTTCAGCAGCGAATTAAACTGAAAGTGTGCAAGGGTTTGTCATTATAAGCAGCATAAAAAATTCGTGAATTCCTAAGTTCGAATTTTGCGTCTCCTTCTTTAAAAAGAATCTTAGGAGTAACTAAATTATATTATAGACGAATCGAAATAAGTTACAGTCAAATTCACAGCATTAAAACTTTCATCATTCCTAGAGCTTTTTTAATTTGTACCTTTAAAGTAGAAAACCAGCTCTTTGTACCTTTAAAGTACGAAGCTAGCCCTTTGTTTTACGCTTTTCTTAGACTTTTATTTCTTTCGTCATAGGAGAAGCAGGATTAGCTGAAAGCTATTCTATTCGGTTAGAAGTAAGCAGTAATAATACGAAGAGCCAGCGCTAACCTTTTAGCTGCCCCGATAACCTCCAAACTTTTGCCGCCTTTAAACTCTGCCAAATTTTATCCAAACAGCACCGGTTGCACCAGCTTTTGTGCTTACCTGATAATGAGGTACTAGGTAAAGTAAATATCCGGTGTAAAAGAACCAACAAAGTGTTTTTTGTTTTTCCGGCATACTTATACCGACAAAACGTTTCTGGCAGTACCAGATTTAAACTTTTATTTTCAAAACTTTTTCTACTTTTGATAAAGAGAGTCTATCAAAATTTGAAAAACACGAAGATTCAATTCATCCATTTTTGATTCGCAAGCCAATTGAAATAACAGTTTTTTCCCACCCAAGAAGATACTTTATTGATGACATTAATTTGGATGCATAACTCCTTAAACAGGTTAAGTTGGATGCATATCTACTTAAATGCTCAGCCGTAGGTTTTTACTGGAGAAATCTCAAGATTTTTTAACTGCCGAATTAACAAAAAAAATTCTCATTTAAAAACAATTTGCTCGCATAGCAGAAATCCTCAAATATTTCTGAATTATTTAACAAAATGCATTACATATAATATTTGAATAGTTTCCTGATTAGGATTTTTAGCTTGATATTTAAACAATAGTATAGTAAGCACGAAAGGCAGACATTAATAGATAAAATGGACTTCTATTATCCGCCAGTAATAGCTATATAATGACCATTAAAGAATGTCGTAAGCATAACTTTAGCATTTCTTTTCGGTGTATATCAAGCTTATGCTCAATATCAAACATCATTCATGTTCTCTTCAGTATTGTTAAACACATACTAATTTGCTCTAGGTTAAATTTTTAATTATTGTGCGGGAGAAATGCTGTTTTTCTTTGATATGATGTGCAAAATGTACAAGTTTAGGATTTTATTTTATCGAGAACTCTTGTTAAAAGCATGAACATTATTTTCTACCTTCAAATTTTATTCCAAACACTTCTTTCATCAATTGCAATATCTGTCGGTGTGCGTGGAATATTTCGGTGTCAATGAAGCCACTTCTGATAAGCCAGCATTACATTGCTTTCATTTCTTCTCTATAGTAAGATTGCAGTAAGGATTCCTCCTTAAAAGGTGATGTAATTATTTTATTATTTAGTTAAGACTTTTTTTTATAACTAAATAATAATCATACAGCATAGCGTATCTAATAGAGATATCACGTTAACATACGAAATAGTCTCTTCTGCAGGTCTGGAGTATGCATCAGATTGTCATATGGATTCAATCAAGAACGCAGTTATAACATTTAATTAGCAATTAACAAAAATACGCGTTTCTATTGATTTTACTGCATTTCACAATGTCTGAAAAATTGCGCAATAATATCAGACTAATATCACCGTTTCCAAATCATTGATATAAATAGATATAAAGCGATGGGAAATACAGATTGTCTTGAAGCAACTTTGTTGTTGTACACATGCATGGAAAACAACCGGGGCGTTGTACTGAAATGCGGCTTTCAGTTAATAAGAGACTAACTCAAAATATTTTGGTGCAAATGTTTATAATGGCGTCTTAGTAGATGAGATGTTCATTTTGTCCTATTTGCAATGGCAACAATGCGGGAAAAAGCGGAGTGTATATTGCTTTTAGCTGAAGCAAAATTGCTATAACTATGCTGAAAAAATATTGCAAGAATTAGGAATAATTTAAATTAATGAAATAATTTAATTTATTAAATCAAATGTCTTCATAAACTATGATAAGATTTCAAAAATTTTAAATCATAAAAAAATTTCAATTCTAGAAAAATTGCATTTATTATTGATGTGGGCTAAGTCTAGCTAACTGATATCAGAAGTTTTCTGTAGAAATTTTAGGAAATCAGTCAGAACCACTTCACGCGATCTTAATTTAAGAAGTATGACCATTCTTCAAACATTTAAGGAGCCCATGTTGAAGTTTATGGATGAGCTGAGCTTTCCTTTACTGCAAACCGGATGCTAATACTTATTACAAATAGAATTTTAATACATTGCCTTGTTTTTATGTTACGAATCTGGGTAATGATAAAGATCTTTTTCGGATACCCGTTATACGTACAAATAGCAAATATTGCTCTCTGTAAATAGTAGTAATTTATACTATTCATGATAAAAAGCGTATTTGAAAAAGGACTAGTCTTTTGTATGTTAAAAGCAATAATATCATGTTTTGCTATTTACCAAAGTTTACTTGCATTTTCTGCTTTTAAAGCTATACTTTGCAAAAATTATTTTTAAAGCATACTATTTACTCTTCATGGTGTAATTCATTTCTGTTAATTATATTTTTTGATTTTTATTTTAAAATATTTTACGTAACATAGAACAGTATTTCATAATATTGTGATTGACATTTGATGAAGAATGTATAAAATAGATTTTTAAGGGACTAAACCCTATACAGAAACTGCAAACATTATATTAAGTGCTTCATAAATTCAAAAATGCCAAAACAGAAAGAAAAGCAAGCATGCAAATTACAGCATTGTGTGCAAAATGCATAATAGCATGCGTATATAGAATACACAAATTTAAAGGTGTAAATGAGATTTTTTTTTTCTATTTTGAGAGGAAAACAGATGATAACGTGCAATTTTAATAAACTTATACGAATATGCATATCTAATGATTATTTATGAGAATTTATAATCGAGAGATTCAGAAGGACCACACAGAGTAATACACGAGATCACAACGGCTTAATACTTCGGCTTCTCTTAACATTTTAACAATGGAATCAACGCTTACAGTGGTACATTTAATAAATCGCCACGGGCACATCAGTGCCGTAATGTCGTCATTTCCGAGGAGGTACACTTTAGCTTACTGCATCATGATGACTATCCGAGTGGCGAGACAGAGAAGGGAACGAAATCTAGAAGTTTGCAGTCATACTGGCCGAGCACCTGGATTGATGTTATAGAATGCCATTGAGTATATATCATTTTCTTTTCTACTCCACATATCAGGCACTGACCAGCTACAGATACATTACTTATGTTTTTATGCATGTGACTGGGCCATATTTTCGGGGCCTTCTTGCCTAAACTTTTAATAGGAAGTGCAAAATTCCATGTTTCTCTAGCTGTCCTACATTTTCTCAATACAAAATGGGGCTTTTGCCTTGAACCATACTTTTTCAAGATCTCTCACCATATGAAAAGTTCAATGGTTGCAGAGAGCATGGCGTGGTATTACTTGTCAGCCAGTACAACACATGAACTCTGACATGGAAAGCTGCATGGGCAATAATAACCGTACTGCTATTCCTACCATAGGGTGTTGATTTCTGCTTTTTCCATGCCTCAAAATTACCTGAAATTTTAATTAATCCTTTCATCACAATGTATTTGTGAAATGAATATGATTCTGCTAATGCTTTAGTAGAACTTTAATGGCCATGAATGCATTTAT